GCGTTGAATTTTCGTCGATGTTAAGCCTAACGTAAACTTTTTAAAATAATAATCGTGGCTATTGTATCGTTAAAAATGATTTCTTTATGTTTTACAAACGAAATAAATACATTGAAAAATATAAAAACAAATAAAAATTATACTTTAGGCCGACTGGAATTCTTTCGGATAAACGACGCTCTACTGTATGTTAAACTTAATAGTCATTTGTTTTCTAACTAATTCATTTTAGGACCAAGTGTCCTCAGAAATTTCCAAAGTTTACAACTTTTCGGTCACTCTTGTTGAACTGGAAAAATTTCTGTCTTTATTACATTAATAATACGATGAAATCAGTCTGCATTGTACTCGGCTAGAGATGGTTCGGTTAGCTTTTGTTTAAGTAAAATTTCGGCTCTTTTATCAGGGTTTTGTTTATGTCCCCAATTCCCTAATCGCTTAATTATTTAGCTACTTCTTAAGTAGAAATTAGTTGAAACTGGTTACTTTGTACTCGAATATTTGTAGTCTCGGAAAAAAACTCGAAAGACAAATTTTTATGACAAACGGATACGTAAATCGTAAATTTAAGGAAAATAAATTCCAGAGCTTTTTCTGTACCTCGTGCATCTCTCTCATTCATTAAATTTAGTTGTAAATGATGCTGTCAAAGTAACAGTTAATTTTTTAACATTATACAAGAATTGTACACGTTTTTTTCTACATTCCCGTAGAGATGGGATATACAAAATCGTAATATCACTGGTTTAACATTGAAATCCGTGAATAATATAAAATCGGAGAGCGGAATGAAAATATCAAATATTTTAATGGATTTTTTTAAGCTCCTGTCAACTATACAGAACTATCATAAAAACATACCAGTAAATTCTTATCGGTTGAGTTAAGTTATAAATCTACTCATGATTCGCGTAATCGGGCGAGGGCAACCAAATATCTAGCAGGCAGCCGGCTAACAGCCCAGAACTGGCCCTGGATAGAATTGGAAGCATTATATGTGTGTAGCTTCCACCCAAAGTCCTAGGCTTCCGCCAGCTAAACGGGTGAGGTTGGTGTTCTGTAAAGCGCATGCGCGAATCTGGCTTTTTGGATTCTGACAATACAGCGCTTCCACTCCGCCACTAATATTCGAATATACAATAGCGATCTTATCTTTTTTTCACGTGTAGTATAGAAATTTGTAATAAGATACATAATGCAGTTATAATAAAATATTGTGTGATTATTTTCATATAATTAAAATTAATATGCATTTATTTTTTAGAAAATACAAGGGAAGCGGCACATCCACCGCTTCCAATGATGGCACGCCACAGGTTCTAACCCAGAATTCCAACTTGTTCCACATGTTTTCAAAGGGATTTATATTTGAGCTCTATCATGATCACTGTAAAGGAATTATAAATCACAACTTTACAGTTGTTGCTTTGTGACATCAATGTTGATATGCAGTATCATAAAATTGCCACATTATAGAATTATTCAGGTGTCAAAGTAATACTTTGCATCAGGCATGATAACCAAGGGATTCAGACCATACCACCAAAAAAAAAAAAAACTCAACGTTGTGAAATGTTAAGTTAGGTTGTGGACAAAGAATTAATACACCCTTGCAAACAAAATACAAGAAGTTTATTAAAAACAACAAAACACATACAAAAATACTCCAGAATACCAGGGATATCAGTCAGCAGAAATTTCAACCGAACAATAATACATCCCAATCACTTGTCTGGACTGAAATTAATAACTATGAGTAACAAACTCAAATCTGACATACACCACCATTTTATTAATATAATTAAACTTACCCTAAGTATTAATACTAAACTAAAATTAAATGTTACTACCAAACTTACAGCTAGTACAAAATCAATCAGTATTAGGAGATGCAACTTAGACAATATTGTGAAAACAGTTCTGGACAACAACAGATAGAAATGTCCTCAAGTCAGAGAAGTATTTAGCACCAGACAAGACACTATAGATCTCTAATACCTAACAGAAAGGTAGAATCTCCTTGTCAATTTCATTTATCTATTCCTTTGTCTTCATCTCCACGTATCTGTTATGATTCCAAAGACTATAATGCCATGTGCGTTTCTTCAAGGACCTTCTTCACTGGTCCACGGAATTCTTCTCTTTCTTATGAGAGAGAACTCATGCCCAGCCTGGCTTGTCTTTTGTCCAAAGGTCTTCTCTTCTTCAGCACCTAACCAAAAGTGTTGTTTTCTCACTTCTGTTTTCCTGAGGTTACTTCAAAACTCATCCAATCAGTCCTTCATAGTTGTATAGAAAAAGGGGTAACTACAACTCCAGAGTTGTAGTTACACAAAGAAACAGGAATGGACAAGCTATTCCAAGACCAAAAATACAAGAATACATAAAAAGGAAACATACATAAAGAAAAAAATATACAATACACAAATAATAGCTACAATACCATAATATCTCAACTTCCAATCTTTATTGTTGGATCCTTCGTATTCTACTGGGAAGCAAAGCATGGTCACTAATAGAATGTGTGGTTTCCTGTTAGGCATCATCCATACTTAAATACAAGAGTGAATCAAAACAAATTGAGACTGGTTTTTTCTTGTTGAAAGTATAATACTAATAAGTTCTTATCTATATTACTGTGAAGAATGATTATCAATGCATCCATGCAAAAACTTGCACAGAAAAATGACACTTCATTTGATTGCTACAGCATGTAGAACAAATTTTGTCTGCTATCCACAGATAACAAAATGGAGGTTAATTATGATGAGTAGTATGTTATGATGAGCACTGCTTGTTATGATCAACCTTGTTTCTGCTTGAGAAAAACAGCTATGGAATTGTATGAAATGCTGAAGATCAGTCTTAGTTTATTTTGACTTGCTCTTGTACATTCATCAGACTGGAAAAATATACAGTACAATTAATAACTCCACAGAATGTACTTCATTGCTTGAAAATCCAGAAATTAAGGTCTCAACATTATGCCACACTTTACTGGGCATCAGGTTTGATAAATAAGGAAATTTTCATGGCATGTAAAGCTCTTGAATTTTAGACACGAGTCTATTTATAACTGTCTTCACCAGTTTCCAGTGTGTGATAACTTTAGTCAGGATTTTTTGTGTATTTTCTTGCCATACTTTCAATAAAAAGATATAAGTTTAGTATTTATTTATTTTTATATTCTGATATTATTACATTTTAAATGAAATAAATTTTACATCGACTAAAGTTTCGTTTTATTAATCTTTATATATTTCTTATATAAATATTGAAAATGTAAATTAAATTAAAATCATATTTCACTGAATTAATTTTTAAAGAAAATATTTTTGTAATTATTTCTATTTTTAGATTTGTGATTTTGGATTAGCCAGGGTTGCAGACCCAGACCATGATCATACAGGATTTTTAACAGAATATGTAGCTACTCGTTGGTATAGAGCACCAGAAATAATGCTGAATAGCAAAGGTTATACGAAATCAAATATCCTTTTTCATTTTTAAGTAAATTTAATAAAGTAATTGTAGAATTATATTTTTATTTCTATTTACATTTAATTCATATATAAATGTGTGTTTATTAATATGTTATGCATTATAATTAGAAGCTAAAATTTATAACTTTTTATTTTCACTATTTATGTAAGATAAAGTGGCTGGATTTTCAAGAAATAAAATCAATGCATTTCTTTCAGTGTGATTTTAAAAAAGTTTTTTGATTTATTTAACTGCCTATACCTTTAATTTATTTGTTATATGTTTTTCATTTGAATGAATTTTCTTTTTAAACTAGAAATTCCCTTGTCAAGCATGACAAATGCTTTTTATGAAAAAGTAGAGATTGAAGAATTGAGAAGAGTAGAAATTTTAAGAAATTCCAGAAGAGTTGCTAATATTTCTAATATAAAGGAGTTTATACTATCTGTTGTAACATAAAGAACAACAAAACAAAATTTCACCTAGAGTGGACAAAAATAGTAGGAGTTATAGAGAATTCACTTAAATACTGTACACATAAACAGATTTAGGCCTTTATATTGAAATAATAATAAAATCTTTCATTACAAAATTTCTATATACACTATTGTCTTTTAAAAGATTTCTATGCTGTCTTTCTTTAGTAATAGACACGTTAATATTGTTTCAATGATTGACATTGTGATGCTGTTTCTGCAGTCCTTGACATAGTCATTGTCAATCTATTTTGCTCAAGTCAGACTTCATGGCCTTTAGGGGGGTCTCAGTTATTCTTATTTTTTTAGATCTAGAATTTACCTGACCAACTTTACTCTTATGCTTTCCCCTAGGCTTTTTTTTTTTTTTTTTAAATAATGACATTAGATTGTTACTTCCAATTGGATAATAGAATGTCATGTGGTCACAGAATTTGTTATAGAAGTGACACAATGCAGCTTTTTTTTTAAAGTNGAGTTGACACATTTTTTCCGACTCCACAGCTCTGGTTTCAAAAGATATAGTATATTCTTTATTGCTATTGCTTCTGTATCAGTTGTTTTTCTACATGTAACAGCTTGTGATAGTTTGTTACACTTCTTCAAAGCAGCACTTACAAGGGAACTATCAGAGTATCTTTTAATAAATATTAATAAAATTTAGTTAATAATTACGTTAAAAGTATACAAACTCTAAATTAAATTTGTAATATTCACTAAAAGTGTTAATTAGAGTTAATAGCAATCAAATATGCAAATTTTTAGAAGTGAATGGGTCACAGAGGAAGACAACGATATTACATTTACAGAGTAGAATAAGGAATAAACTCAAATAAGTGTTTATTTTACAGAACTATATACAAGAGTTACAATTACATCGACCATGGAAACAGTGGTCAGAGCACGTGTGAGGTGAGCGACTGGACAGAAACACATCCACCTAAAAAGTGGAGTTAGCCATGGTCTGACGTCACGTAGGTTGGGGATGATGGTCAAATGCCATGTTGCCACCCACCACAATCTAATTTTTCATATAATATTTATTTGAGTTTATTCCTTATTCTACACTGTAAATGTAATATCATTGTCTTCCTTCTGACTTTTTCACTTCTAAAAATTTGCATATTTGTGTTACACTAATATCAAATGGTATGACATTTGATTGCTATTAACTCTGATTAACACTTTTAGTGAATATTACAAATTTAATATAGTTTGTATACTTTTAATGTAATTATTACTAAATTTTATTAATATTTATAAAATTTATTATATTTATA